GAGGAGGGGAGGGGAACTGAGGGTGTGCAAAGGATTAGTCATCATGCTGGAGCACAGACTTCATGCTGTTGAGAGGCTCAGCAGCCTCCAGCACCCACACAGCTGCCCCTCTTTGTGTGCCCTGGAAGAAAAACGGCCCGGCCTTGGTAGGCACGTGTGACCACGAGGGGCCCGTAGCCCAAGCTTCCTCTGTGATGTCGCAGATCCACCTGTGCTTTCGGGAGCAGAGCAGGGAAGGGGAAAGCCATGTGGGAAGGGGGGTGGTGCCCGAAGCCCTGGGCTTCTTGTGGAGATGGAGGTGAGCCAGGATGCAGAGCCTAGGGGTCTCCGGCAAGTATCAGGATAGGACTTGGGCCATGGGAAGTTGTCAACAGAGGGACGGTACTCAGAGCCCGGCCACCTTTATGTTCCAGAAGTAGTGAGGGGAGGCTTTAGCCGCAGAGTCCAGGTTGTCAGGACTCCACCTTAAGCCTTGAAACACCTGAATACCTCTGGCTCCGTGTTAACTCCTGTTGCCAAGGGAAGTGGAGAGGCCCAGGATGAGGGTGGTCTTACCTGCAGTAAGACCTGTCTGTGTGAACCGGAGATGGGCACACCACCTGGCCAGAGGGTGGGACGGGGTGAGCTCAGCACAGCAGGTTCTATCCAGTCCAGAAAATGATGACATCATGCCCTTAGAAACCCCCATAGCATTCCCCAGGAGAGACCTGGCCGGTGCCTTCCTCTAGTGTCCACTGTCCTCGGGTTAAAAATGAAGTCTGGGAAATGACAGGGAGAATCCAGAAGTTTCAGGCAGCTGGAGCAAGGGGTTGTTGGGTGACACCCTGGGGCACCCCCATCCCCAGAGGCTGTAGCCTTTTGCATTCAAACTCCGCCCAAGAATGCCTTATGGCATTAGCCAAGTGCGGCTTACAGGGCTGTGCAGAGACCACGAGGAGAGTGTGAGGGCGAACCCCTTGTTGGCTGAGTGTGCACCGCACTATTCAGTTATTATCTTCACCACTGGAGACATTCTAACCAATACCACAGGGTCACTCATAAGAAATGATGTAGAGAAGATTCATGAATGAAAAGGGAGTCGGAGAGGACGATTTCTAAGGGTTTGGAACTGTGATTCTGTCATTCTTTCAGCCTCCCATGAACTTGTACTGCATTCAGGTCTCCGCGTACTTGCTGTCGGTGCCCTGTGAGTCGGTCCAGAGGCCTCTGCAGAGACAGTCGGTGCCCTGTGAGTCGGTCCAGAGGCCTCTGCAGAGACAGTCGGTGCCCTGTGAGTTGGTCCAGAGGCCTCTGCAGAGACAGTCGGTGCCCTGTGAGTCGGTCCAGAGGCCTCTGCAGAGACAGTCGGTGCCTCCCGAGAACAGGGCCTGGCTCTATTTTTTTGTATCCCCAGAATCTTGAACACAGCGTGGGAACTGGCTCTGTATGGTAAGTTCTCACTTAACGTCAGCAAGAGGTGCTTGGAAACTGACTTTAAGTGAAACAAATGCAGAAACCAACTTTACCATAGGCCAATTGATACAAACAAGAGAAGTTCCTAACAACATATTTCTGGTCACAAAAACATCACCAGTCTTCTAAATATAGACCCAAAACATTTCTAATATTAAACACTGAAATAAATGTGAACTGTACATACATTTAAGAAAGATTGATTAAAACAACTGAGATTATTGTTTATCCAATTTCTGGTGAATCAGTGAGTGACAGCAGTCATTGTGGTGGGGGGGTGGGGGCAAAATCAAAGCAAAAATTGTCAAGAGCACCTCCTACTCCCACAAAGTTAAAAAACAAACAGGATGGGCTCCCTGAGCCCTCTCCAACCACTCTGGTCATTGCCATACGTTTGTAGGGTGACAGTAGACTTTACCAATTGTTATTTTACAATAATTTGTTTTTATGCATTCATTTTCCAACCCACTTATTCCAGTTCAGGGTCACAGGTGATCAGAGCCCATCCTGGCAGCAGCTCCGGGCACAAGGCAGGAAGCAGCCCTCAGACCATGGCAGGGCCACTCATTCTCACACCCATGCTCACTCCCACGTCGCCCTGTACACACACCCGTTCATGAACAGGCACATCTCTGAGATGGGGGAGAAAACCGGAGCACCCGGAGAAAACCCACAGAGACATGGGGAGACGGTACCAGCCCCACACAAATGGTGGCCCTTGACGGGAATCAGCTTTCTCCTCGCCAGCACCGTGATGAAATGATACTGAAGAGGCAGGTGCAATGGCTCGCACCTAGAATCCCAGCACTTTAGGAGGCCAAGGCAGGTGGATCACCTGAGGTCAGGAGTTCGAGACCAGCCTGGCCAACATGATGAAACCCCTTCTCTACTAAAAATACAAAAAATTAACTGGGCACGGTGGTGCGCGCCTATAGTCCCTGCTACTCGGGAGGCTGAGGCAGGAGAATTGCTTGAACTTGGGGGGCAGAGGTTGCAGTGAGCCACTGCACTCCAGCCTTGGCAACAGAGTGAGACTTCCTCTCAAAAACAAAAACAACAACAAAAAAGAAATGACATTGAACAAAGTGGCACCATTTGAGGACCTGCCATGTTGAGTGACTGATGGCAGATTGGTAGATTGATGTTGCTATTGGGGTTACCTAGCATAGAAATTACAATGGGTTATGTCCCAATCGACCCATTGTAAGTTTAAAATATCATTTTGCAGACATGATGGGATGCGAAAACACAAAATATCCAGCAAATGCTGGCAACAGGGCACAGCGTCGAGTGTGGGTGGTCTGCCCTTCTGACTCTGCAGCTGCCTGGCGGCCCTGCCCACATGCAGGGGGCACCTCGCACCGCACATGGCTTCCCCAGGAAAAGATCAAAATTCAGAACGTGGAGTACTGGTTTCTAGTGGATGCGTATCACTTTCGCACCATCATAAAGTTGAAGAATGAAGTTGAACCATCGTAAGTTGGAAACCATCTGTACTATGATCTTTTCTTTCAAAAATGCCATAATGTATAATTATGAAGTAAATAGGACAGAATGATAAGAAATGTGAAGCCTAGTCGTAGTTGTAGGGTAAAGGAATTGGTTATGCAATTTTTGCTTTTCTTTCCCCCAAATAAAAATGTTCTAAAGACAAATAAAACTCACTTTAAAAACAAAAATAGCTGCTCCCAATGACAGTGTGTGACCACCGGAGTTTGACTAAATCAGTGTAGTGCAGTCACAGGATGGACGTGACGGAAGGCTGTGCGGAAAAGCAGTGCAGAGCTAATGACATAAGGAAGCCGTCAGGAAACGTGGCTTTAAAAAAGACTGAAAACAAAAAAGCATTTCATCACTTTCCCTGCAGCAACCTGCCTGCCCTCTCTCCTCTGCAAACACCCTGCGGCTCCTTTCTGCTCCCCAGTCTTTCCACTGTTCGGTCCAAACAGCGTGAAGGATCTCATGCTCATCCCATCCCCATCTCAAACTTCTGACACCCTCAGAATAACGTCCTTCCAATGGGGAAAGATTAGAAACATGTTTCTTCTCATCCCCTCTAGCTAACTTGCTTCTTTACAACTCCTCGTTTGGAACTTGTAATTAAAACTGCCCAAATATTGCATATTGTGAAAAGAGGCAAAGGGAGATGTGGACCTGACCCGACCAGTGTCCACTCAGGACCAGCCATGCCTCTACTATGCTAATCATTTCAGCACTCACTCCTCACACAAGGCTGCAGGGTACAGGGAGACACCTTCGTTCTCCTTCCTCAGATCTGTCCACCTTCCTCTATCCTTATGATCAAACAAGAAGCCTCTATTTCCATCTTCTCCTTCCCACAGGTACCTTGTGATCTGCTGAAAGCTCTCGGCCCCGTGTGCTCCAGCTCACCTGTGGCAGACAACGAGCACTCGCTGGAGTCACAAGACATGTTGGGGCCAATGGTGACATAAGTGGTGTGTGACCCTTGCAGGCTGAGGCAATTAAGAGAAGTTCCATCTGCACTCCTCACTTGCCCCACCAGAGTGACCTGGGAGGCCACAGCTCTGATGACATGAAAGTAGTCGGAATCCCTGAGTCACTGCCGGAATGTGAACCCTGGGCAGCCCAGGTAGGATTTGGAGTGAGGGAGAAAGCTTTGTTGTGTGAAGCTGCTGAGATTTCAGGGGGTTTGTGTACCAGCGGCAGTAATTGCCCTAATGCAGAAATGAGACGTAAAAGAGGGGAGCTGCCCTAACCTAGATCTAAAAGATGTGGCTCTGAGTAGCCCATGGCAAGGAATCTGTTAGAGGAGGCAGGAAAGGCAAACGTCTACCATACTCCGCAGCAAAAGGTCTGGGAAAGCTACTGCTATACTACACGGAGGCAGGCCAAGTGCCGCCTGTCCTCATGGCTCTGGGGCAGGACAGGAGAACTGGGTGCCACTGGATGTCCTGTCCTCATAGCTCTGGGGCAGGACACAGGAGAACTGGGTGCCACTGGATGTCCTGTCCTCATAGCTCTGGGGCAGGACATGGGAGAACTGGGTGCCACTGGATGTTACTTGGATGTGTTGGCTGCACTGGTCAAGGTATTTCAAGGAAGAAATGGTCTCAGGAAAGAGGCATTCAGTATGAAACAAGCAGACATAAAAATGAACAGAGAAAGTCCAAAAATTCCAAGTCTTGAAGTACTGGAAACATGAACTGTTTCTAGAATCCAAGGCTTAACACAAGGGACTAAAAGAAGCTTTGTGAGCAAAAGCACATAAAACCTCTCACTTTGGTGAAATCACTGAGGGCAAAGAACAGATGGGAGGTATGTGGCTTTCACAGTTATTGCCAGCGATGAAACAGAGAGTGAGAGCCAGAGCCAGAGCAAGGAGAGACAGACAGACAGACAGACAGACAGACAGACAAGGGAAGCTAGGGGCAATGGGACAAGAAAGTAGAGAAATGAAACAACTTGAGGAATTTTCTTGAAATAACCTTTGGAGGTAGTTAATGGCACATGGAACTGACTGGAAACAAATAGACCAGAAGTCTCCTATAAAGTTTTCAACAGCTTTATTGAGATACAATCCATGTGCCATAAAGTTCACCCATTTAGTGTATACAATTCAATGAGAAAGTTCACCCATTTAGTGTATACAATTCAATGAGAAAGTTCACCCATTTAGTGTATACAATTCAATGAGAAAGTTCACCCATTTAGTGTATATAATTCAATGAGAAAGTTCACCCATTTAGTGTATATAATTCAATGAGAAAGTTCACCCGTTTAGTGCATATAATTCAATGAGAAAGTTCACCCATTTAGTGTATACAATTCATGGAGAAAGTTCACCCATTTAGTGCATACAATTCAATGAGAAAGTTCACCCGTTTAGTGCATATAATTCAATGAGAAAGTTCACCCATTTAGTGCATATAATTCAATGAGAAAGTTCACCCATTTAGTGCATATAATTCAATGAATTTTAGTATATTCTCAAAGTTGTGCAACCACCATCACAAGCAATTTTCAGAGACCTTTCTCACCTCTGAGAAATGCCCTCTCCCCATAGCAGTCACTCCCCACTTGCCCCTAGTCGCCCCCGCCCCCAGCCCTAGGCAACCAGGAATCCATGTACTGTGTCCATAGCTCTGCCTGTCGCGGAAACTTCATATGCGTGGAGTGACCCATGTGGCCTTTGCGTCTGGCTTCTTTCACACAGCCTACCAGAACGTCATTCCTCCTTACAGCTGATGACACTCCGTCATGTGGATATGGGTATGCCACACGTTGTTTATCGTTTTGTCAGTGCATGGACATTTGGATTGTCTCCACTTTTTGACTATTGTGAGTATTGCTGCTGTGGTCATTCCTGTACATGTTTTTGCAGGGACATATGTTTCGATGTTCCTGGGTATGTACCTAGGAGTAGAATTTGCCAGGTCATATCGTAATTCTGTGTTTAACTTTGAAGACCTGCCAGACTGTTTGCCAAAGTGGCTGCACCATTTCACATTCCCCTCAGCAGTCTATGAGGGCTCCGATTTCTCCACATCCTCACTGGCACTTGTTTTTGTCCATCTTTTTTATAACAACCATCCTAGCGGGTGTGAAATTCTATCTTACTGTAGTTACGATTGCATTTCCCAGATGGCTAATGAGGTAAAGCATCTTTTTATGTACCTTCTGGCCATTGGTATACCTTCTTAGAAGAAATTTCTATTCAAATTATTTGCCCATTTTTAAATTGGGTCATGTTTTTATTGTTGAATTGCAAGAGGGATATATCCTGAATTAGACCCTTATCAGACATACGATTTACAAATATTCCTGTCATTCTATGGGGCTGTCTTTTACTTTCTTGACCGTGTACTTTGAAACACAAAGTTTTACAGTTTGGATCAAGTCCAATTTATCTGTTTTTTCTTTGGCAGCTTGTGTTTTTGGTGTCATAGCTAAGAAACCAATTCCAGCCTGTGGTAATTTCCCACTCTATACACCTCTAGTTAGTTTGGTTTTTTTAAATGAGACGGAGTCTGGCTCTGTCCCCCAGGCTGGACTGCAGTGGCACAATCTAGGCTCCCTGCAACCTCCGCCTCCCGGGTTCACGCCATTCTCCTGCCTCAGCCTCCCGAGTAGCTGGGTCTACAGGCGCCACCACCACGCCCGGCTCATTTTTTGTATTTTTAGTAGAGACGGGGTTTCACCGTGTTAGCCAGGATGGTCTCGATCTCCTGACCTCGTGATCCGCCCGCCTCGGCCTCCCAAAGTCCTGGGATTACAGGCGTGAACCGCCGTGCCTGGTCACACCTCCAGTAACTTTTAATAGATACAAAAGGCTAGGACCAGCCCTCCTCAGAATTTTTGAGTTCTATTTTTTAAAACAGAGATGTGATACAACACAAAAATTACTATGAAATGACTGAAGTATTGTATCTGCAAATGAAAACAGCATACCTTTATCCAGAAAAGGAAATAGAGGCCAGTCACTGAGACACATCCTGGTTAGATTGTTGCACTTCCCTCGAACCATGAGGATCATGGACATTTTCTCCCAATATCGCAGCAGAAAGAGGAGGACACCTACAAAGGGGAAAATTCCTTTTAGGCTCAGGTGTTTACAGCAGGCAGTGCTAGAAAATAATGGAAGTCTGCAAAACTTTGTGGGAAAATTTCTCACCATTGCAAAAACCGAGCATGCCTATTTCCTGAATAACTGAGCCTTGCATGTAACATCTGTCCAATGGGGCTTTCCAACGCATTACAGAAATTACTCTTGTTGAATTTAGCATGGACCTGCCTCTGGTCAAACACAGCGGTTAATTTTCTATCTTCGTCTAACACAATTTCTCAATAGTTTAGACAGCAATGACCATCGGAGACACTTTCATGGCCTGGCTTGGGTTGTACTCCTTTTCTCCGTGTTTCCCCTCCCTTTGCAGCTGCTGCTCAATCCTTCTTGGCTAGTCCTTCATCTTGGCTCAACCACCAAGGCTGGACGTTCCCTGGATTCTTTCCTGAGTGTCCCCCTCATCTACACCATCCTCATCAGTGATCCTATCTGGACCTCTTGGGTGGGAAACGGGGAGAGTGAGAAGGGAAGGCGGGGAGGCCAGTCTCTCCCATTCTATTATGTGTATATACAGTACATGGCATATTATTCACAGCTAAAACCCTCTCTGTTACAGACACTCTCTGAATTACCAGTGATTTCACTCACTCAGAATACACAGAGACAAAGAAGCCTCCTCATTCAGAATCTCCCGGAACCTCATGGTGGATTCATTTGGACATGGGACAACTCAATCATTTCCTGGAACTTGCATTTCACTTGGAGAGGCCTTCGCTAGGGGAGGGTGCTCTTTGTGGTCTTCCACGTACAGCTAATTAAGATTCTGACTGGGTTTAGGATCAAAGAACCCTGTCCCATTGCATTCCCACATTCTTCCTTCTTCTTTCAATGTCTTCCAAGATCTATTTTAAACGGGAAGTGTTGTGTACTTTTCAGGGGCCCTTTGACCTGTTCCCAGTAAATCAAAGCAGGAAGGTAGGTCTCAGTCCTTCGCCTAACAGCCAATCAGTGTGAGACCAAGGTCTGCACAGCTCTGTCTATGTCCAGTGGCCAACCGGGGAAGAGGTATTTCCAAAGGCTTCCCCGCTGGTCGGTCTATGGTAGTTGTTTGCTAATCTGAATCCATATTGGTGATTAATTTTGGAATCAGACTCTTTGCGTGTATATGGGACAGGGTGCAAAGGGCAAATGTCCCAGAGAACTTCTACAAACATTAGGAGTTTGGTGCAAGAAGTTCACAATGAGCTAGGAAGGAGTGGGAAGAAATAATAGGGCCTTGGATCCTTTCCAGCTCCCACCCCAGTGCACTTGGCAGCTCACATGATACCTTGACTTTTCCAAATATGAGGGAGAAAAAGCAGCCAAGGTTTTATGTAAGAATGAAAAGGGCCTGAAGCACTTCAATTTCCGGGTGGCTAAACAAAAGAGGACACACACCAGGGAAAGCCCCTTAAAGTGTGTGCAGAAGAGCTGGACAAAAGAGAAGAGGCATTTAATCAGAGAGAGAAAAAAACAGAAATGATGTCATTATTTGGGTAGAGTGGGGTTGCCATGTAGGTGTGCTTGTATAAATTCCTTGGGCTTCTACTAGTAATGAGATAACCCTGTGAGGCCCCCAGTTCCTCAAAGATTTAGCTAAAACTTGGAGTGGTACTAATTACAAAACACAATCGCCCTGCAGGTAAAGCTACACATACAGTAAATACAGCCTACTGCTTACAGGATGAGATCCTTGTTAGCACAGGAGGGACCTGATTTCATAATCTGTGCACCTGAAATGCAGGAACTGATCTCTCTCCAGGTACACATTTGCCTCAGGCTACACTGGCCTAACGCCGCGCTGCCCTACAAAGGCAAATCCTCCATCAATAAATAATGAAAAACGACCCATCAAAAAAATGAGTCAGAGTGGGGGAGGCATAGAAAAAGTTACAAATTGATTCCAGACTCTTCTTTTTTTAGGTCATCATGGAAACAGTTACTGGATTTATATTGGAAAATTCCTACCAGGGTGTGACGCCTTCAATCGCCCTTCCTTTCCCGTGATCTCCCCAGGAGCAGGCAGAGGGACATCCTGGGAACCGACCGGGAGGCGGCTTGGATCTTACTGTTGCCACTGAGCGCCGCTCCCAGGAATGTGGGCATGGAGAGCCAAAGCCTCAGACGCATTGCAAGATGCCCACAACCTCAATCGTGTGCTTGAACACCTGAAAATCCTTTACCTGGTACCTTTTATTGATACATTTCATATCATCACCACGTTTAGTAATGTCTGAGGAATCCTACTAAAGAAAGAAGGATGCCTGAACACTGGAGACACACAAATGTCCATATTTTATATAAGAAAGGGCAAGGCAATGAATTTAGAGTTCTAGACTGCTACATTTAATATGGATACCTTGAAAAGCGATGATGGAATAATTTATCGACAGCTTTGTTGTATTTTAAAAGCAATAAAAGATGCATCCAACCAAACAAGTTCACTGAGTTTTTGAGGGGCTCATGAGACCGTAGATCAGAAGAACACAGGCAGTGTGATTTCCTCTAAGTGTTTGACTTGACAAAGGAGGGAGGAATTAAAGTGTAAGGAGACACTGATAGTTGATTAAACAACAGTGAACTAAAGGATGCTGAGGAGTCCACTGCAGTTAACCTGGAGGAAAGTCCCCTGAGCCACAGCTGGTGGGGGCAGCTCATCTACCAGGCAACAGAATCCATATTCAAGATGATTTCAAGGCCCAAAGGAGACAAAATCCAATACAAACAATTCATTAGACATTCAAGTTTTTTTAAATGTGAAGTTCTGATTTTAGATTCCCACAAATAATTTCAAAATTTTGGCACAGATAACATCTAGCTTAGGAGTGGGTTTTGAGAAAAAGGGCCTGAAGATGAGTTATAAGAGCACTAAAAAGGAACAATGCTGGTGGGCTCAGGCTTCATTCATAGAAGCATGGTGTCCCTCTCAAGGCAGGTAATTAGGATGTGCCTCAGTCTCCCCAGGGCCGTTTCTGCTAAATTCGTGCACTTGTGTCAGAAGAGGTCATTGACCACGCTGTCCCCAGACTCCCTCCCACATTTCTTGACTTGTCAGGCTTTCCTGTGAGACTCACTTTCCTCTCGCTGTTGTTCTATTCTCTGACCTAGTTACTGGTTGAACTAACAAGCGTTACCTACCTTCAATGTATTCTCTCACCTTTCATCTATTAAAAAAATAATACCCATGCTCAACGTTGAAGGCCCAGCTTGAATCCTACCTTCTCCGTGTGGCCTTCCTCTTCCTCACCAAAAGAAATGAGCTCGTCTTCCTCCAGGTGCTTTTGAACCTAGTGGCCATGGTCCTTAGGACTCTTCCCAGCCTTATCACAGGGACTATTGTCTTCCATAAGAGTTGGTACATTTCAGAGCATCCTAAATAATTTCTTAGGTGACAGAGAACATCAACCATGTTTTTATAAATATTCTATTTAAAATGTAGCTTTCTGTCAATAAACTAGGTATTGAAGGAACATACCTCAAAATAATAACAGCCATTAATGACAAACTCACAGCCAATATCACACTGAATGGGCAAAAGCTGGAAGCATTCCCCTTGAAAACCAGCACAAGACAAGGATGTCCTCTCTCACTACTCCTATTCAACACAGTATTGGAAGTTCTGGCCAGGGCAATCAGACAAGAAAAAGAAATAAAGGATATTCAAATAGGAAGAGAGGAAGTCAAATTGTCTCTATCTGCAGATGACATGATGGAGATGGAGTCTCGTTCTGTTGCCCAGGCTGGAGTGCAGAGGTGCAATCTTGGCTCACTGCGACCTCCGACACCTGGGTTCAAACAATTCTCCTGCCTTAGCCTCCCAAGTAGCTGGGACTACAGGCACATGCTGCCACGCCCAGCTAATTTTTTGTAAGTTAGTAGAGACAGCGTTTCACTGTGTTGCCCAGGCTGGTCTCAAACTCCTGAGCTCAAGCAATCTGCCCGCCTCAGCCTTCCAAAATGCTAGGATTACAGGCGTGAGCCACCGCGCCTGGCCTCAAAAGCTTCTTAAGCTAATAACCAATTTCAGCAAAGTCTCAGGACACAAAATCAATGTGCAGAAATCACAAGCATTCCTATACACCAATAACAGACAAGCAGAGAGCCAAATCATGAGTGAATTCCCATTCACAATTGCTACAAAGAGAACAAAATACATAGGAATACAACTAACAAGGGAAATGTAAGACCTCTTCAAGGAGATTACAAACTACTGCTCAAGGAAATCAAGACACAAACAAATGGAAAAACATCTCATGCTCATGGACAGGAAGAATCATTATTGTGAAAATGGCCATACTGCCCAAAGTAATGTGTAGATACATGCTATTCCCATTAAACTACCAATGACATTCTTCACAGAATTAGAAAAACACTATTTTAAAATTCATATGGAGCCAACAAAGAGCCCATATAGCCAAGACAATCCTAAGCAAAAAAAAACAAAGCTGGAGGCATCATGTTACCCAAATTCAAACTATACTACAAGACTACAGTAACCAAAAGAGCATGGTACTGATACAAAAACAGACACATAGACTAATGGAACAGAATAGAAAACTCAGAAATAAGACTGTACATCCACAACCATCTGATCTTCAACAAACCTAACAAAAACAAGCAATGGGTAAAGGATTCCTTATTTAATAAATGGTGCTGGAAGAATTGACTAGTCGTATGTAGAAAATTGAAAATGGATCCCTTCCTTATACCTTATACAAAAGTTAACTCAAGATGGATTAAAGACTTAAATGTAAAACCCAAAAGTATAAAAAAACCCTAGAAGAAAATCTAGGTAATACCATTCAGTGCATAGGCCCGGGCAAAGATTTCATGATGAAAATGTCAAAAACAATTGCGACAACAGCAAAAATTGACAAACGGGATCTAATTAAACTAAAGAGCTTCTGCACAGCAAAAGAAACTATCATCATACTGAACAGACAACCTACAGAATGGGAGAAAAATTTTGCAA